AATGTAAGTATACAACCCAATATTAAGTAAAATTGGTGGAAAAATATTTAAGAAAATAAAAAAAAATTTGAAATGATTTTAAAATTTTTTTGTATTTTTTTATAACTTAACGGAAACCGAGTATTTTAATACCGGATTTGTATCTTTACAGTATAAAAATATGAACCAATATTGATCAAAATGTATTAACAAAAATTGTGAAAAATCACGGATTCTTTGAAATAATTTTTGAAGAATTTTTATTTTATTATATATTTTTTTGCAAATTTCACTATTCACGCACGTGAATAGTAACAATAGCATTACATTGTTCACGTGAATTATAATTCACGTGAAGAGTGAAATGACATTTCACTGTTCAAGTGAATTATGTTTCACTTGAACAGTGAAATGCGAGGAAATGGTACAGGCATGGCGACGAGACGGGGTGGACAAACCTGATGGTAGAAACGATGTTGACGAAGATGGCAGACACTTCCAGTGATTCTGGTGGTGGTGCTGGTGGTCAGTTTGGGTGGTTGCCGTTGTGGAGGTTGGTCTGAGAGGAAATGAAAAGAGAGGGCTGGTTGCAGGAAAACTGGATCGGAAAAAGCTGATTTTCGACCAACTTTGGGTTCGATTTTCTCCTCCCTCTAAGCATCAAATTTGCTCCTATTTATAGGCATGGAAAGAGGGTAATCTCGTCTTCAATGGGGAAAAATTTCCAGCCCTTGATTCGACTCAAAAAATCCAGGCCGTTGGCTCAAAGTGTGCACCTCGAACTACCAAATTTGACAAATCTCAGGCTGCAGGCTGCCCAAGGCGGCCACTTTAGGCCGACCAACAGAGCCCAAGGTGGCCTCTTTAGGCCGACCAATGGAGCCTTTTAGAATCTTATAAACCCGACCAGACAATTCATGAGGCTAGAGGGGTTGTAGGTGAACATGTCGGTGCATGAGTTGTCGAATTTGGTGGCAAAACGAGGCCAAAAATGCATCTGGAACGTTGCTACTCGGGCAGCTTTTCGGGGAAGACGATGCACAGTAACCCGTTTTTTTTTTGTTTTCAACTTTATTTAGGGTCAATTAGGGATTTGATTGAAATAAATTTAAAGTTGGAGGACCACATTAAACAAATCCCTAATTTTTAATCCAAAACGGCGTGGTTTTAGGATTCAAAAAAAAAAAAAAGTGATCCTCACCGGGTTACTGTTCATCGTCTTCCCTGAAAAGATGCCCGAGTAGCAGCTTTCCAGGAGCATTTTCTTCCTCGTTTAGCCACCAAATCTGACAACTCATGAACCCACATGTCCACCTGCAACCCGTTTATCTTGGAGAATGGTTTGGTCGGGTTGAAAAGCTTTGAAATGGCTCCGTTTATTAGCCCAAAGTGGCCACCTCGGGTAGCCTGTAGCCTTGGATTTGCCAAATTTGGCAGTTCGAGGTGCACACTTTGAGCCAACGGCCTGGATTCCTCGAGTCAAATCAGGGGCTGAGAAGTTTTCTCCGTTGAAGACGAGATTACCCTCTTTCCCGCCCTATAAATAGGAGCAAATTGCATGCTCAGAAGCAGGAGAAAATCGAGCCTAAAGTCAGCAAACAATCACTTTTTTCTGCAGGATTCTGCAATTTTTCTTTCTTTCCCTCTCCACCGTGGCCTTCAGCCACCACCACCACCGTCGCCGGACTCCACAGT